GGGGCAATTTAGGGGGCGAGGAAAGACAGCTCACTTTCTAGATCAGGAATGAAAAGGAAAGGCTAATGAAAGGGGTAAATTTTGGACTAAATAGTGAAGGATTAATAAAAGTTCTAATTTTAGAAATAGGTCAGGGAGAGCTTTCTGAGAAAAAGGAATAGCATGGATAGAATAAAGATAGGCAAGTGTTTCAGGAAGAGTGACTATTTCAAACAGGAACAGTGTACGGTATTTTGGGAGGGAAAAAGTAAGAAAACTAGATATTCAGCTAGGACCAGAATGAAGGGGATTTTGAATGACATTCTAGAGTATGAATTTGACTGCATGGTCAGTAAAGGACTACTAATAACTAATGAGCAAAAGACAAAAGCAGCAAATGATACTTTAGAAAAATTAATCTGAGAAGAGTAAACAAGAAGGCCTGGAATGTGGTAGTTGAGAGGTAGGAAGACTGGTTAGGTGACTGCAATAGTACTACAGCAAAACAAGAGGGACACTGAACTCAGAAAGAAATGAAATTCTTTATATAGTAAGGTAGTTTATGATTTTTCATATTTCTATATATTCCATGAGAATTTCATATAAATTAACAGCTCAAATCAAGCCAAGGGACCTCAATCATGACAAGCTATAAATGCCCATACAAAAAATTACTGCACTCCACAAAATCTCCATACCAAAAGGGTTATCTGACACATAATCACATACTGAATCAAAGGGCATGGTTCATCTTCCAAAAGACACAATCTAGTTATTATCAACCCTAGAAGGTACACATTATTTCTATACTAACATTTAACAATGCCCTAGGGAGGTGACAAACAATCATGTTTTGAGGACAGATATTTTTTGCATTTTTTTTCTTTCCATCATCTTTATCAGTGCAGATATTTGCATGAAAACAGGATCACTGGTCCTTGGGGATTCATCAGTTCCTACTGCTTATTTTTCATCCATGTCATCCTCTCAATTAATGCAGGAAAGAGGATTGAGACATCGAAACACCAGATTAGGGTTTCAAGTAAATGTCAACCCCTAGAGTAGATGAATAATCTGTAAGGACAAAAAAAAGATCTTGTTTTTATGCAAACACACCATATATGATAAAATAAAGATTGACTATACCCAAGAAGTCCAATACATATCAATATAAATCTTTCCAATTCTAAACTTTAAAATTATTTTCTGTATGTCAGTTAATTTGTGATTACAGAAGATGACAATGAGTTGCAAAGCACTGATACAGAAACCCCGAAATAAAGCTGAATTTTGAACCAGGAGGAAATTCTGAAAAATCTCAGCTGTGTTCATGGGATTCATATGGCAGAAATGAGCATTTCTGTTTTGGAATTTTGGTTCAGTGCTTCAGGTGGCTATGTTAGGTGACTGCAAATCTCTACCTCCAGAGTCTTAAGTTTTAGAAGTACAAACACTTAATAGTAATAATGTTTTTAACTCTGTGGATTAAAAACTAAAACAAACCACACCAAATTTCTCATTCTGCGGAAATCCATTAAAATAAAGTTTACTGATGTTTAGGGAACTCTTAGTTCTAAAAACCGATAAAGTAAAAGAATAATTTATTCTGTAAAAATAGCTTTCAAGGTAATAAAAAATAGTTGATAAAATAAAGTCCTTTATAGAAGACTTCTAGCTAGTCACAAAAATATGACAGAATTAGAATATCACCATTTGGCAACAGGGGAACAAGGCAGTTACCAAAAAATGCTAAAACTCTGCTGTAAGGCTGATAAGAGAATTTTACAAAGAATAGTTCAGGCTAACAACGCCTTTATCAACTAATTAATTTTAACATCACAAAGAGAGATAGGCAGACATATACACCTTCTGATGGATGGATATATAATACCATTTATGAAACATTCTTTGCCAAAATAATAAAAGTTCACGCTATATCTGTGCAGGCTTCTATATCTAACTACCAGGAAATAAAAAAGGGATAAATGAACATATTAAACACTACCACAGGAATGTAAACAAAATCCAGAATGTGAAAAATTCTACACAACAAATAACTAGTTTTAATAAATGGTAAGGGAAAAGAAAAGGGAGGTAGTACTATGACAGATTAAGAGAGACTTAAGGGATATATCAATCAAATACAGTGCATAAACCTTATTTAAGGCTTAATTCAAATAAGCCAACAATTGATAAAGACAATTATTAAATCAACAAGGGAAATTGAATTCTGATTAGCTATTTGACAATAGTTTGTTAAAAATATTTAGGTACAGTAATGGAATGGTGGTTATATTTTTATTTTTTTTAACGTTTTTATTTATTTCTGAGAGAGAGAGAGCGCGTGAGCAGGGGAGGGTCAGAGAGAGAAGGAGACACAGAATCTGAAACAGTCTCCAGGCCCTAGCTGGCAGCACAGAGCCTGACGTGGGGCTCGAACCCATGAACCGTGAGATCACGACCTGAGCTGAAGTCGGACACTTAACCAACTGAGTCACCCAGGCGCCCCGGAATGGTGGTTATATGTTATATTTTAAAAGGTTAGGGGAAGTGGGAAACAGACCTTGATTTTTGGAATTATATATGAAGTTATTGGGTGATGAAGTAATAGGATACCTAAGATTTGCTTTAAACAAATTATGGGAGATTGTGTAAATGAAACAGATTGGCCGTATATGGACTATTGAAGCTGGGTCTTGGGAACATGAGGTCATTATTCTATTTTTTCTACTTCGTGGCTCAGCTGGTTAAGCATCCAACTAATTTTGATTTCTGCTCAGGCCATGACCTTGAGATTCGTGGGATGGAGGCCCGCATCAGGCTCCGCACTCAAGATGCGGAGCCTGCTTGGGATCCTCTCTCTCCCTCTCTCTGCCTCACCTCTGCTGCTCATGCACGCATGCTCTCTCTCTCTCAAAATATATAAAACACATTTTTTAAAAATGGGGAAAAACACTATTATCTATCTCAGTATGAAAGCAGAAAAGCTAATTAGAAGAAATGTAGCAGTTTCAACCACAACTAGAGATAATAATGCGGATAAATAATTTGGCAACAGAGCGTCTTCTTGATATAATAAACATAAAACTTCATTAAAAAAACTGACACAGAGTGATAAAGGATTACTTTTTTTTTTTTTTTTTAGAGAGCATGAGCAAAGGCGAGGGGCAGAGGGAGAGAGGATCTTTTTTTAAGTTTATTTATTTTTAAGAGAGAGAGAGAGCACGCATTCACGTGCGCAAGTGCATCGAGTGGGGGAGGGTCAGAGAGACAGAGAGAGAGAGAGAATCCCAAGCAGGCTCTGCACTGTCAGCACAGAGCCCAATGTGGGGCTCAAACTCCTGAAATCGTGAGATCATGATCTCAGCCAAAACCAAGAGTTGGATGCTTAACCGACTGAGCCACCCCGCACCTCAAAATAAAGGATTATTATGATTGTTACAGCATTTATTATCCAGGCCTAGTAAAAGAATCTTCTTTATGATACCAACCTTGCATTCATGAATAATCACAGATTTGCCTTTTCATTATAAACCCTGAAAGTCCATGATATACGTTGTAAATAGTAAATTTGCCAAAACATATATTTTAATTAGAAATAAATGACGAGTAAAACAGAGGAAAGTTAAATAACAATGAGTAAACCTAGTAGACCACCTAGCAACCATATTTCAAAGCAGTTTGTTGTTTCCCGCTCCTTGATTCATGAAGTGATGAAAATATTTTCTTGGTAAAAGAAAGCCAATTGTTAAATGACAGTGATGGAGATATAGAAAAGATAAAGAGGCCTAAGGAAGTGATGACTATTAGTCAAAAATTAGAAGTTTTACAGGGGTCTGGGTGGCTCAGTTGGTTGAACACCCAATTCTTCATTTTGGTTCAGGTCATGATCTCACAGTTCATGAGATAGAGCCCTGAGTTGGGCTCTACACTGACAGCATGGGGCCTGCTTGGGATTCTCTCCTCTCACTCTACTCCTCTCCTTGCTTGCTATAAATAAATTTTAATTTAATTTTAAAGTAAAATATCGAATTTGGCACTAATTTAAATAATAGGAACAAATCCTCTATATAAAAAAGAAAAACAATTTATGAAACTTTTTTGGGATTGTTCCAATAAGCAAAATTTGTATGTTTGAAGAAAATTATAAACTACTGTAGCCTCTCACAACTGTGGATTAAAGAAGTCTCAGGAAATACCCATTGAGAACAAAGTATTATGTTGAGTTCCTCTTTCACTTAAAAAGTAAGAAATTCTACAATTCCTTTCCCAGTTTTATAATGAATACAGTATGGGAAGAGATATAATCTATATGGGCTTTCCTTTGGGGAACCAATCTTTATTCCCATTCCATGTGATCTGAGTCAGACTAACCCCTCTAAACAGTGTCTATAATCAGGACCCAAGCCTGGCCCATCAGAGTGTTTCATGCAAACTGGTTAAAGGGGTGGTTCTAAAATAAATATGAATCAAGATGGAACAGTCTGAGTCCTCCCCAGGATCTTTCTTTTGGAATGTTCATAAAAGATGTTCTGTATTTTAGGATTACAAGATTTAAAGACATATAAAGTGGAGCTCCTTCTGGCCCCCTTCCCCAGTGCTAGTTCAAAGAACAAGGCTAATGCAAGAGCCTTGAGCTGCAAAACAAAAGCCAAGAATAAGAGCACATCCCAATGACATCATTAAAAGTCAAAGATCTGACCTGAAAGCTATTTCTACTCCTGAAATTTTGATTTATGCAAACTAATAAAGTCCCTCTTTCACTAGTTTGATTTGACATTCTATAGCTTTAAACTGAAAGTGTTTAAACTTTTCTCAAATACAGAGAAAAAAAACCTGTTATTGAGTAAACTCTGTAATTATTCCAGTATATAATGCCATAAACTTAATCTAGCACACTAGATTATAGTGACTCCTTATCTTCAGAATGCCTAATAAAGATACTTTCTGAGTTACAGCAGAACTCGTCATGAAATATACAACCTGCAACCCTAAATAAATGTGATTGTATGGGTACTCACATTCATCTAGCCCCAGCTGATAGGCCAAGTTCTGTAGGCCTCGTACCTTCTCCATCAAATTAGCTGTGGTGAGGCTCCCCAGTTCTGAAACAGAATAATTTATTTCAATACCATTTCTTTCTACTGTTCTCTAGTGACAATCCATTCATATTGGAAATCCCTGTTCTAAAACTTTTCAAGCTAAATTCTTATCTATTAAGTAGAAAATGATCTCTTCTCATTCAATCATTCTCCTTATACACGCACACACACAAATCAGTGAATTTTTCCTGTTACAAAATGCTTCAGATGAACTTATTTATCACATAAAATAAACACATCATTAAAATATGAAACCTTGTGATATGACACAGCATTGAGAAAGTCTCACAGACAGATCTTTGTCTTGCAAAATGGACACTGTCTCCACTATCATTTATAAGTCCCCATTATTCCAAATAATAATAAGATAGCAACAAAACTGTTACCGTTCCCCACTTCCCTAAGTTAGTAAACAGGGACTAAACATTAATCCAAACTTTACCTTCAAACCAAAGTCCTATAGATTTTTTTAAGTTTACTAGATAAAAAGGCAGTATACTTAAAATAAAAACTTAGTCCACCAGATTTTCATTTAAATAGCACACAATTCCTTTTATGTTCAAGACACCAGTCAATTTGCATGGAACATGATGCTATAATCCGTTATTGAAGATGTAAAGTTTCCTTAGGAATCACATACTGATGGGACATTATATAAATGTCTGTTTGGAACAGTGTAACAATGAACCCAGATGCCTTTGAGACAATTTTTCCATGGCTGGAGGAGGGGATCTGCATTTAAGCATTTCACGCAGGACAATGAATTACTTCTGAAATCAAATAAAGGTGTTATTTTCTCCCACTTATCATGCCACACTCATTATCCATATCTGGCATAAGTAGACTTTCGTGATCTGTTCAGCTCTTATATAGCTCAAGAATGCCAGATTTTTATCTTAATTTCATTCTATTACTTTACAACCATCATGAATCTTATCACCAGAAGGATGATAAAAATTAAATAAAGTAGAGCAAAATCAAGGAAAATTAATGTTTTTTAATTTAAATTTCTACTTTGTGGTTGAGTTCCAAGTCATTTATCAAACAACAATATTCATTTCACTACTTATAGTATTCTTTATGGGAGAAGTTGATGGGATAGAAAGAACTAAAAGACAGGTCTTAACCCACTAAGAGGTTATCAATTAATAGTACTGACAACAATATTTAGCAGTAAATCCTAAATAAGGCACTTATGTTAAAGTGGTAAAGGGGTAGACTTAAAAGATCAGTTTAAATTTTAATTCTAATAAATCTTGGTTAAGTTAACTTCTGAACCTTAGACATCATCATACCTAACTCACAGGAGATTTAAATGGGAAATTTTTATGTGAATGCTTTTGTCAAGTGTAGCATTATACAAAATAAAGTTAATATTAAGTTAATTTAGAAGCAGCAGAAATCATTATGACGGGTCCTGAATTGAAGGGATTTATACACATGGAAAAACAGGGACAAGCATTCAAACATGAAGAGCCATGAGTCAGCTTGGTTAAGGAGGCAGTCTGACTACAGCAGAGAATACTCGTAAGAGACTAGGGAGAGAAAAATTGGAAAGGTGGTTTGTGGAAGAGCATAAATGTCAGGTTAGAACCTATTAGAGGTCAGACCTATTAGAGGTCACCAGAATTGCTTACCTTTCAACATGTCAATGTCATCACGTTCTATTTCAGCCATCCATTTGGGTGGAGAACTAGTAATAGGCTGTCAAAATTTAAGAATATATCCACTGAGATGCATACATAATGTAAAAAGATCATAATCTTCCTTCTTATAAGAAAAGTAGCTTGTCATACAGCCTTCAAATTGTTCAAAACTACTGGCAAATTATAATTTCAAAAACTCAGATTTCTCTAGATTCAGATATGGCCTACAAAGAGTCCCTTTACAAAATAATACTGCTCATCTTTATAGCTGGTCTCAGAGAAATTGTCTTAGGAGAAAGGTCTGGGGGCACCTGGGTGGCTCCATCAGTTAAGCATCTGACTCTTGATTTGGGTTCAGCTCATGATGTCACAATCTATGAAATTAAGCCCCATGTCACGCTCTGTGCTGACAGTGTGGAGCCTACTTGGAATTCTCTCTCCCTCTGCCTCTGCTCCTCCCCCTGATCTCTTTGTCAAAATAAATAAACATTAAAAAAAAAGAAGAAGAAGAAAAATCTGAACACTGTTACTGTTTCATGCAATAAGAGGTTAGTAAAGCAATGAAAGAAATTACTTGAAATCCAGTTCTGGTAAAAGATTCCAACTGAACTGCTTGAGACAATCAGCAAGTAACATTGGCAGAGAAGATTCAAAGAAAGAAGATCTCTCTCTCTCTCTCTCTCTCTCTCTCTCTCTCTCACACACACACACACACACACACAAACAGACACACACATACAGGAATATTACTCGGCCATAAAAAAAATGAAATCTTGCCATTCATAACAACATGAATGGACCCAGAGAGCATCATGCTAAGTGAAATAAGTCAGAGAAAGACAAATGACAAATACCACATGATTTCATTTATATGTGGGATCTAAAAACAAACAAACAAACAAAACATGGAGTGCTTGAGTGGCTCAGTTGGTTATGTGTCTGACTCTTAATTTTGGCTCAGGTCATGATCACACAGGAGATCAAGCCCCATGTTTAGCTCTGCACTGACAGTGCACTGAGACTACTTGGAATTCTTTCTCCCTCTCTCTGCCCCTCCTTCACTCATGCTCACATGCTCTCTCTCACAAAATAAATAAATACAAGTTAAAAAAATAACAACAAAATAAATGAATAAGCAAAAAACAGAAACAGACTCGTGAATACAGAGAACAAACTGGTGGCTGTGTTGGGAGAGGAGTGGGCAAAATAGGTGAAGGGGATTAAGGGATACAAACTTCCAGTTATAAAGTAAATAAGTCACAGAAATGAAAAGTACAGCATAGGGAATATAGTCAATGATAATGTAATATATGTAATTGTTGATTCACTATTTTGTACACCTGAAACTAATATATGTCAACTATACTTGAATTAAATTTTAAAAAGAGGGGTGCCTGGGTGGTTCAGTAGGTTAAACGTCTGACTTCAGCTCAGGTCATGAACTCGTGATTCATGCTCTATGCTGACAGCTGAGTCTGCTTGGAATTCTATGTCCCCTTCTCTCTCTGCTCCTTCCCTGCTCATGCTCTGTCTCTGTCTCTCTTTCTCACACAAAAATAAAGATTAAAATAATTTTTAAAAATTTTTTAAAGAAGTAGTCCTCAATTTGTGAGAAAACTATAATGATCATCACTTCAAATTTCATTTTACTGTAACATTTTAGAAAACTTTAGAACTTTTATCTTTTCATTTATGAAAAGTAAACACACAAAATATGAAAGAGAGCCAATTCTTCAAATAACTTTTGGCAAGTTTTCAAGCCTAGCTGAGTATGAGAATCATCTATGTAACAAAAAAATAGAGACGATATGGACACACTCCAGATGCGTTGATGCAGAGTATCAGAGGTAGGGGAAGGATCCAGTGAAGAGAACAAAGCAACAGACATTACAATGTATGTTTTTTTCAAACTCTGGATACATTTACTTATTTACTTATTGTCAAATTGGCTAACATACAGTGTGTAAAGTGTATTCTTGGTTTGGGGGGTAGATTCTAATGTACTGTTTATTTAACTTCTAAAGCATTTCAGCACCCTACACATACAAAAAAAGAAAACATTTCAGGGTCTGCTGCCCTGAAAGTAGAAAGTTGTAGCTCTAATGGATGTTTTACTTTGGTTTCTGATGAGCCACTGAGGAATTTCAAATTCCTGTAAGGAAGTATAATTGAAGGTCATAATGCATCTCATAAACAAAAGAGAAAAGCTTCAAAATCATGGTTTGGGCAAAAAGAATACTAGTGTTACATTAAATATTTCAACTGCCTTAACTTAAAAGCTTTCAAGCTGAGAGAAGCAGCTAATAGACAAAGGTCAAAATGCCAAAATAGAGCATTTGGACAGAGGAAGACATTATATCAGCATGATGATAATACAAACAGATTTCCAGGGCTGTAGCTACAAACTGATTTGAAGCCTATGACATTTTTTTTGCAAATAAAGAAATAGATATTTAGGCTTTTACTAAGGAGTAAAACACTGGATTAACTTCATTAGGTAAGTGAAATATTACTTACGCTTTTAAAGGAAGCTGCAAATTCAGCAACACCTGGTACTGAAAAGAAAGAACACATTATTTACTCAATAAATATTTTAGTGCCCCAGACACAGAGGATCCAAATAATAAAAAGAAAATAAGGGTGCCTGGGTGGCTCAGTCGGTTGAGCCGACTTCGGCTCAGGTCATGATCTCACAGTTTGTGGGTTCGAGCCCCGCATCGGGCTCTGTGCTGACAGCCAGCTCAGAGCCTGGAACCTGTTTCGGATTCTGTGTCTCCCTCTCTCTTTGACCTTGCCATGTTCACACTGTCACTCTCTCTCTCTCAGAAATAAATAAAAAACATTAAAAAATTTTTAAACAAACAAACAAAAAAAAAGAAAATAGCTTTGTCTTCAAGGAGCTTATAGTCTGGAAAAGGAGAGAAACTCAGTAGCTATTTTTTAAGTGCTCCAAGAAAGATACCAAGTGCTATGGGAAGACAGACAGACAGACAGACAGACAGAAAGAAAGAAAGAAAGAAAGAAAGAAAGAAAGAAAGAAAGAAATCTGTATCTGACTGAGGTAGACAGGAAAACCTTCTCAAAGAAACTAATGCCTCAACTGAACTTAGAAGGATCAGGAGTTAGTTGAAGAAGATAGCGATATACAGTATCTCTTACCAAAAAATTTAAATTTTCTTCTTAGGTATGCTGTTCTGTCAATCCAAATGTTATTTAAATGTCTCAAAGGAAGAATCACATTAGGAAACAGAAAGATAGATACAGATATTTAAAATTAAAATACTGTTGGGCGTCTTGGTGGCTCAGTCAGTAAAGCATCCAACTTCAGCCTGTCATGATCTCACATCTCATGGGTTCGAGCCCTGTATCAGACTCTGTGCTGAGAGCTCAGAGCCTGGGGCCTGCTTCAGATTCTGTGTCTCCCTCTCTCTCTGCCCATTCCCCACTTGCACTCTGTCTCTGTCTCTCAATAATAAACATTAATAAATAAATAAATAAAATAAAATACTGTTCAATCTCACTAATAAACATGAACTAAAGATAATAAATATCAGTAAAATCGAATAATGGCTAGTATCTGGGGAAATGGGCTCTCTCACACACAGCCATCCTCTACCATGTGCACAAAGATACACATTAAGTTGTTTATAATATCAAACAGTGGATCTAAGGTTTCCAAATAGGGTAGGAATATATAAACTATAGTGTATCTATATAATGAAATACTTCAGGAGGATTAAGACCTACTAATATGGAAAGATCCATTAATAAATTACTTCATGGAATAAGTTAAGCTATTATTAGCCCAACCACGTACATATAACACATTATACCAAAAACAAACAAAAACAAAAATCCAACCCAAAAAATCCTGTTGTATACTTTTAATATATGTATTTATTTATCTATATAATCATTATAAAGGCCAAAAGGATTTGCACCAAACTATTAATAGTGATTTTATAAGAGTGAGTAAAGAAAGTGAAGAAATACTTTAAGTATCTCCGTGTTGTCTGAACTTATTAGAAGATGTAATTTTTTTAAGGCTGTCTATCATTTCCTGAGTCACATGTGTCCTGAAAAAGTTAAACCACCAAAAAACTATTCTTAACATTAGACCACAGAATTTAATCTATTCCCTGTGAAGTAAAATGAAAATTTTAACCATTACAATTAAATGATAACTTCAAAAATCTCTCTCCAAATAGGACTGGTTCTCCTGTATTGCTTCTGATATCAAGAAACCCAAAACTTACATTGTTCTGGCCAAAGGTCTGGTGAGGCACGGTCAAGTTTTTCAAAACTTAGCAGAGATGCTTCCAGATCTGTCCCTAGAACAAAACATCCAGATGAGCCAAGAAGACACAAAACATGTTAATTTACATTTTATAACATTTCAAACTCAAAGAACATAACAAACTGGAACCCCCTCTTGGAAGTTTAGAAATCTGAGTTCTAGAACTACTGACACTACTGGGCCATGATGTTATACAAATAAATCATCCTCCTTCATCAACTTTGCTTTTCTGGTCTGTAAACTGGGAGCAATATTTTAGTGGGATTAGGAAAAATAAGTATCAACAAACCCATCTGTATCTTCACTCATACTCTAGACTTTCCCCCAATTAAGTGTCCCTGCTCCCAAGAAAGACATACTCCTCTGCAAAGCTCTGGATGTCATTTTTCTCTTGCTTTGTCAAAGATATCATCTTGAATAATCTTTCTTACACAATTAATTGCCATGTTTTCTATTGGCTCATCCTCAACAGCAAGCAAGCCTCCTCTAGAATTTCTCCTTTGAAAAAAAATTTCTCCTGTGACCCCCTTACCTCCTTATTCCTCCTTCATTTCAAAAGTTCTTGAGTGGTCTATCCTGCTATCTCCACTTCCCTCACCTCACATCTCTCCTTAATCCATGACAATCAGGCTTCTGCTCCTGCATACATGGAAAGTGCTGTGGTCAAGGTCATCTATGACTACATATGTTGCTAAATCCAGCGGTCACTTCTGTTGTCTATTATGTGACCTCTCTGCAGCACTTACGCACTGATCACTCTCCTTGAAAAACTCTACTTCCAGCTTCTATAAAACCACTATGCTGCTGATTTTTCTCCTATCTTACTGACTCCTTCCTCATTCTCCTCCACACAGGCACCACCCTAGGCTGGCTTCACTCTCTCCCTTAAGTCTCCTAAGGAGATCTCATTTAGCCCTGTCTTTACCATCATTTACATGTCAATAACTCCATATTTATATTTCCAGACCCAATTTTCCCAGAACTTCAGAGTTATAGCTAGGAGGCTACTTAACAAACTCCTCTGCCAGAGCTCTAATAACTCCTGACATCTGTCTCTACTTACATGTGTGAAATCCTTAAGCCTAATACATTCAAAACCATCTTCACCTCAAGAAACAGAACCACCATGAACCCCAGTTCTCAAACCAAAATCCAGATGTCATCTATCCTTCATGCCTCCCTTTCCTTCACCCTTCCATTACAATCCATTAGTAAGTCTAGTAGTTTCCATCTCCAAAATATACCATGAAACCAAATTAACTAGCCAAGGAACCATCACTTCTCTCCCAGAGTACTTCAGCAGCATCTCAACAGTTCTCCCTGCTTTTATTCTTACCTCTTCCCCTCCCTACCCAAATCTATTCTCCACAAAGTAGCCAGAACTGACTTTTTAAAAAAATATCAATTAGTTCATGTCACTTTTCAGCTTTTTGTATATGCCATACCCTAGAAAAAAATCATGCCTCTGCCTGATTCATGATCCAGCCTCTGCCTAATTCTTCCATACCATTTTATACCTACCATTTCTTCGCATGTCTTGCCCCGGCACACAGTAGGCGCTGAATATTAATAACAACGTTTGTTGAGTAAATATTGTGTGCTTAGTGTGCTAGCCAGTTGCATAAATTAGTTCATTTAATGATCTAAACAGTGGTTCTTAACATTTTCTGCGTGAGTCCCACCCTTGGAAACCTGGGGGAAAAAGGGCTGTGGACTCATGCTCTGAAAAATGTACATATATATAACACGTTTCAACATGTGCTTTCCTTGAGGTGCCTGGGTGGCTCAGTGAGTTAAGCGCCTGACTCTTGATCTCAGCTCAGGTCTTGATCTCAGGGTCATGAGTTCAAGACCTGTGTTAGCTGGACGCTGGCTATGAAGCCTACTTAAAAAACAACAATAACAACAATAAACATGTGCTTTTCTCTAAACTGAATATTTTCCTCCAAATATTCTAAGGGAATTTCCAGCAGCATTCTAATTGGTAAAGAATTCAACCCTAATAAATTACCTTAACTAAAGCATCCAAAAATGGTAACAAAGAAAAGCTGTGTGTAACATACAACATGCCACTTTTCAAATTCCCAAGGAATGTTATTACTAATGTTCAATCTTAACAGAAGTGAACTTACTGAGAATAGGATCCAGTAACAAAGAAGGGTGGCCTTATGATCCCACAGTCTGGGGCATAACTCAGAATCTGCTGTAAGTGCTACTCTCATTAAGTAATTCCACTGTTCCCCCCACTTTTTTTTTTAATGTTTTATTTATTTCTGAGAGAGAGAGAGACAGCATGAGCATGGGAGGGTCAGAGAGAGAGGGAGACACAGAATATGAAACAGGCTCCAGGCTCTGAGCTGGCTGTCAGCACAGAGCCCGACGTGGGGCTCACATGAACCATGAGATCATGACCTGAGCCGAAGTCAGATGCTTAACCGACTGAGCCACCCAAGCACCCCTCTCTGTTCTCCTTTTTTAAGAAGTGCCAAGCAAATTTAGCATTAAAAAGACAAATGAGTAAATGACCTATATATGAATTAAATCTTAAAGAAAGAGGCAAGAAAAATACTAAAGATACAAGCAAGGGGAGCCTGGGTGGTTCAGTCAGTGAAGCATCCCATTTTGGCACGAGTCATGAGCTCTCGGTTTATGAGTTTGAGCCCCATGTTGGACTCTGCATTGACAGGGCAGAGGCTACCTGGGATTCTCTCTCAAGTTCTCTTTCTGCCCCTGCCCCACTCTCTCACACATGGACTCTCTCTCTCAAAATAAATAAACTTTAAAACAAGTGAGAAAGCTAGGCAGTGGAATATTTTAGGATAAGATACTTATTTAGAAGCTGTATTTAAGTTCAAAGTGCTCAACTTGATTTTTGTCAGATTAAAAGATTAGGTGAAGGATATAATTCTGTAAAAGATAAGCATGAAAACTAAAAAATCAAGTGTGCAAATAGAGTGACTATGGAGATGGCTAGAAGACCAAAGGAAAAAAATGTTTCCAGCATTCTTCCTAACCAAAAAAAAAAAAAAAAAAGGAAAAAAAAAAAAAAAAACAAGAAAAAAAAAAAAAAAAAACAAGAAACAAAACTCTAAAATCTCCAAAACTTATAAACATAAAAACAACTTAGTAATAAACTAAAAAATTTAATACCAATTACTTCTACTTCTATCACTTGGCTGATCTTTTAAAAATTCTGGTAAAATATACATAACAAAATTTACCACTTTAACCATTTTTAAGGGTACAGTTCAGTGGCACTAAAAACATTCACACTGTTCAGCAACCATCATTACCATCTATCTCCAGAATACTTTCACCATCCTAAACTGAAACTCTGTACCCTATTAAACAATAACTCCCCATTCCCTTAGATGACTTTATAAACGTCCTTTTTCTTTTTTCTGGCAAGAAAGACATTTTAGGAGAGCATCCAGGCAGGAGATGGAATATTTTTTGACTCTGAACACCCATAATTTCTTATACAGTAGGCACCTGTGCTCAAAAAACCCAACACTAAGTTAAACTTGAAACCCGACACTAACATTTCATTGATTAAAATATTAATTGAAGGTCTACCGCTTGCCAGACACTCAGTGTGCATTAAACTCTGGGATCCAACTATGTACAAGACGGACTTGGAATTTATACTCCAACATGAAAGGGGCAAAGTTAACAGAATAATTATGCTGACAGTGAAGGTAGTGAGATAGTGAATAATAGTAGTGAAGAGAGGCAACTCCAGATACCCGTGTTCTGGGAAACCTCTGGGAAGTGACATATAAAATGAGACCTTAAAGTGCAAAAGTATTTACATGATTGATTAATCTCTTCTTCCCCCAAAGCACCTAACATTTTGCCTTTCATACAATGGGAACTCAATAATAGGTCTCCTGGCCTCAATTTCCTTATTCCTGAAATAAACTTCCAAGATTCCTTCCAAACACAACAACGAAATGGACTGGAGTTTGGGGGCAGTAGAAGCAAAAATTAAGTTAGTTCAGAAATGACTGCAAAATCATAAACAAGGCAGAACGGAGTGCAGAAGAATGCGTATATACCAAAACCACTTATTTTACTATGTGAAGTGACTTGCATCTTCGACAACATATAGACAGAAAGAAATCGTTCACTCAGCCTGAGGAAACAACACATACACAAGAAGCAAGAGAGTTTGAGATAAGTGCATGGCTACACTGAAAAGCTCAATTCTCATCTTCCTCTGGGAAGGCACCAAGACGGGAGGGACCAAGACAGGGCAATGGTCCCAACTACCGAGGCACGAGAATATCAGGTTTTGCTTGTGGCTTAATTCCGGGAATAGGTCAGTACCAACTCCAGTAAGGGTTTGAAAGAATCTTTCCAGATGCTCAAAAAGAAGAGAATCGACCCTTCCATAGGGCGCCCTGAGAAGAAAACTACACTAAAGCATCACATTTCCCCCCAGCAGTATCTCCTCCTCGGCCTTGCCTCACCCAAATGGGGTTAGGGGAAGGCCGGGGCGACCCCCGACCTTCTGGGTGGAATGGGCCCCACCAGGGCGCCCTCCTCCACCCCCTTGGTACGCAGAGGGGAAACAGGGCACCTCCGGAGCTGCTGTAAAGAACAGGAGAGCTTGAAGACGCATTCGCATCCTAAGAAAAAGAAGTCGAAAGGAAAGGGTTGGAGCCCCAGAATAAAAGTGTAAGTTTGAGGGGCAGGCAGAGAGTGGAAGTCCCCATCAGAGCAAAGAAGGAGGTGGCAGCCGAAAGATCTCTAAGCCGGCTCTTACCGTCTGTGGGAGACGCCATCTTCCAACCCATGTCACGTGACGTGGCCAACCGTCGGCGGGAAAGCAAGGACGCATACGCCACGCCCCCAAAGAGAAAGCCCATTATCCCCAACTCGCAGCCCTGTCTCATTTCCCCGCCCCGTAGGGCAGTCTTTGCCTAGTCCCGCCTCCAGTGCTGGCCACACCCCCTCGCAAAGTGGTAGAGGTGGGGCGACTGCAAAGTTCTTGAAGAATCTTATTTACTTTCTTCGGTGAGGGGGTGGGACCGCCGACATACCTGTGGCCAATCGGGGTTCTCGTTTAGGGGGCGTCTTCTCCGTGTGCTCGATACAGAGTACGAGCCTTCCCTGCCTCGGCCAACGGAATTTTCTGAGGTGGGAGGGGGCTAGGGCTCTTCCACTTCTGACCAATCGCGTATCTCAAAGATCGGGACTGAGGGGGTGCAGTAAGGTGTTAGGGTGCGTGATTGGCTAGAGGAAATAGTCTTCTCCACCAATGAGTGAGTGTGGCATGCTGGAAGGGCTAGGCCTGGAGGCCGTGGCGCTTCTAGGGAGACACCCGCAGTAGTGGCTCTTGGAGGCCGAAAACAGGCGGCTGAGGGCCATGGCGGCTGCGGTGGCGGCGGCGGCGGCAGTGCGGACCCGGATCCTACAGGCGAGTGAGGGTGGTACCGAGGAATGGCGAAGCTAGTAATTGGGTCCTTTCCGTCCACTGTCTGAGCCAACCCCTTCTTAGCCGACCTTGCAGTTCCCACCCGGCGCGTGAGGCCTTGTCCCAGCTTTCACTTCTCATCCACCCTCTTTGGATCCTGGACTGCCTGCCACCCCTGGCTCTCTGCCCTTTTACTCTGGAGGCTGTCTCCCTTTCTGACTCTGGCCCACTCTCCTCCCCCAGCCCTGTCAGTCCCTGCACTCACTCACTTGCCCTCACTTGTTTTGGTCCACTCACCGTATTTCCTTTTCACCTCTGTGCCAGTCACCTCTCTCACCTTCTGTGCCAGAAACTCCCTTTTCTGGTCACCTTTCTCAGAGCTCTTTCTCCTGTTCAGAGCGACCAGATTGTTCCCTCCCCCCCTCCCCCCCCCTCCCCCTTCACTGTCTGTAATCCGTGGTAAAGGATGCAAAGCACACGAGGGGGAAGGTCAGTGAACTTTGAATCTCCTTCTAGAAAATGTACACTAGGTTTTCCCCCAAAGCAGTTATTTGCTGAGCTGTTTAACCTAGCTATGGCTCTTTGTATTTTCCACAGGCTGTAGGCTGTCCCCTTTCTTTTTTTTTTTTTTTAATGTTTTATTTATTTTTAGGAGAGAGAGAGAGAGATAGCGTGAGCAGGGGAGGGTCAGAAAGAGAGGGAGTCACAGACTGAAACAGGCTCCAGGCTCTGAACTGGCAGTCAGCACAGAGCCCGATGCGGGGCTCGAACCCACGATCCGTGAGATCATGACCCAAGCGAAAGTCGGACGCTTAACCGACTAAGCCACCCAGGCGCCCCGTAGGCTGTCCCCTTTCTTGCCAAGAGTTTCATTTAAACTTTTAGCAAAGTTACAGTATTCTTGTTGGTGGTAAATAAGGACACTTAGTTATGCTACCAAATGTTCCTAGCATATGAGAGAGAACAAACATCTAAAAAAAAAAAAAAAGTGATAGAAAATGAGGTGATAAATCTCTCTAAAATGAGTGGTAGAAAATAAACAAGAAGTGTTAATTCCAAGTTCCTAACCCAAAGTCAGCTCTGAGTATGCCAGCACAACCTCACACCTGTCCATGGTGGGGATTGGGTCTTTTCTGCATGCCTGAGGCCTGTGGTCTCTAACTCTGTCCATAGCCTTTCCCCAGCGTCACAGCCCAGCAAAAGCTTGGACAGGATTTACTGCAGGCAAGAGTTCTCCAACCTACAATAAACAGCTCTGCCCTTCTTAACTTGTTACATACAGCCTGGGAACTTCTTGTTCTTGCTGAACTTTTAGATAATATTAGCACTTACCAGGATGCAATGAGTTCTACTGCAGAAACTTTTGCATTTTTAAGATTCTTGGCAAAGTCAGTAAAGGTTCATGTTTAAATGCTTTTTAATGGGACAGTGAGGAGAATGGGCTGGAAAAGTTTGTGAGGTAGTCTGGCTTCACTCATCTATTTCTTGCTGTGATCCTAACTGTTCTTCTAGTATCTTTTTTTGTAGTAGGGATACAAAGTTTCTACCCTGTAATTTCCATTACCAATTTATCCTTGAAATCTTTTACTAAAATTGACTTTTTTCCTTTGCCTCCCCACCATCACAGTGAGTCATTGATACCCTTAAGAAGGCATTTTGTTCCCCAAATCAAGGAGAGGAATCTCCCTTTCTATGCACTTTATTTTGGAAACAGACATTATTTTCTGATTCATTTGAAGAAACTCTAGTGTTGACCTGGAAAAGAACAGAAATAGTAATTCTTAGCCAAAGAGGAGTTACTATAACACGAAACTTCAATAAAGAGTAATCTAGGAGTGGTGCCCCTGGGTGGCTCAGTTGGTTAAGCATCCGACTTTGGCTCAGGTCATGATCCCATGGTTCATGGGTTCAAGCCCCTTGTCGGGCTCTGCACTGACAGCTCAGAGCCTGGAGCCTGATTCAGGTTCTGTGTCTCCCTCTCTCTGCCCCTCCATCACTTATACTCTGTCTCTCAAAAGTAAATTAACGTTAAAAATTTAAAAAAAAAAAAAAAGTAGCCTAGGAGTGCCTGGATGTTTCAGTTGGTTGAGCATCCAACTCTTGATTTCAGCTCAGGTCATGATCCCAAGGTCATGGGATTAAGCCGTGCATTGGGCTCCACACTGAATGTGGAATCTACTTAAGATTCTGTCTTTCTCTTTCTCTGCCCCTCTCCCCTGCTTGTGCTCCTCTCTCGCTAACTCTCAAATTGGGGAAAAAAAAAAAAAAAAAAAGAGTAGTCTAGATTCTGGCAGTCATGAATTTCAGAGGATCATCAAAAGGATCTATAAAGGAAGGAGTTGGTGTTTTCAGTAATGTTTTTAAAGTTTATTTATTTGAGAGAGAGAGAGTGGGGAAGGGCCAGAGAAAGAGGAGGAAAGAGAGAATCCCAAGCAGGCTCCCTGCTTTCAACACAAGCCCAATGCGGTGCTCAAACTCATGAACCATGAGATCATGACCTGAGCCTAGTTGGATGCTTAAGTGACTGAACCACGTAGGTCCCTCTTGTTTTCAGTAATTTTAAGTATTGATGGTCTTTGATGTTCAATGGTTCAACTTAAGACTTAAAACTTTTTAAAATCATTTTTTAATGAAAAAAATTTTTTAATCTTTATTTTTGAGAGAGAGAGAGAAAGCATGTGAGTGGAGGAAGGGAGAGAAAGAGAGGCAGACACAGAATCCAAAGCAGGCTCCAGGCTCTGAGCTATCAGCACAAAGCCCAGCGCGAGGCTCAGACCCACAAACCATGAGATCATGACCTTAGCCGAAGTATGACACTTAACTGACTGAGCCATCCAGGCACCCTGACTGTTTTTTTTTTTTAAAGTTTATTTATTTTGAGAGAGAGAGTGTGTGAACAGAGGAAGGGCAGAGAGAGAGAGAGCATTTCAAGCAGGCTCTGTAGGGTCAGCATACAGCTGGCCTGAGGGCTTGAACCCATGAAACTGTGATCATGACCTGAGCCAAAATCAAGAATCAGATGCTCAACCAACTAAGCCAGCCAGGCGCCCCAACTTAAGACTTTTTGACTGTATGGTGCACCTGGGTGGCTCTGTCGGTTAAGCATCCAACTTCGGCTCAGATCATAATCTCATGGTTTGTGATTTGAGCCCTGCGTTGGGCTCTGTGCTGACAGTCAGCTCAGGGCCTGGAGCCTACTTCAGATTCTGTGTCTCCCTTTCTCTCTGACCCTCCCCTGCTCATGCTGTCTCTCTCTCTCTCAGAAATAAATAAATAAACATTTAAAAAAAATTTTTTTAATTTTTTTTTTAATGTTTTGTTTATTTCTAGGAGAGAGGGAGAGAGACAGCGTGAGCAGGGGAAGGTCAGAGAGAGAGGGAGTCACAGACTCTGAAACAGTCTCCAGGCTCTGGGCCGGCAGTCAGCACAGAGCCCGACGCAGGGCTCAAACCCACGAACCGCGAGATCATGACCTAAGCGAAAGTCGGACACTTAACCGACTAAGCCACCCAGGTGCCCTTAAAAAAAATTTTTTTAAAGACGTTGACTGTACAATGCTGTGAAAGCAATATGCATTCAGTAAAAACCATACTTCAAGTTTTAAATTTTTATTCTCCCCACCCCCAGCAAAATGCAGTATGATACTTTTGAGGAATGCTGGGCAGCAGCAGGGAGTCACAGCTCTCTGTCAGCCACATGATCACAAAGTTCAACAACTGTACACTTATAAGCATTCTATACCCATACAACCATTCTTGGTTTTCACTTTCAAAACAGCATTCCATAAATTACATGAGATATTCAACATGTTTTTATAATGTAGTCTTTGTGTTAGATGATTTCGGACCATTGTAGGCTAATGTAAGTGTTCCAAGCATGTTTAATGTAGGCTAGGCTGAGCTATGATGTTAGTTTGGTAGGTTAAGTATATTAAATGCATTTTCAACTTACAATGGGTTTATCACATTCAGAGATAAGAAAATTATTTTCTTAATTAATTTATTTGAGAGAGAGACAGCATGAGCAGGGGAGAGAGAGAATCTCAAGCAGGCTCCACGCTGCCAGTGCAAAACCTAATGTGGGGCTCGAACTCATGATCCGTGAGGTCATGACCTGAGCCAAAACCAATAGTCAGGTGCTTAACTGACTGAACCATCCAGATTCCCCAAGAAAACCAGTCTTAAAGAGACTCAATGGCTTGCCTCGGTGATATGGTTTAAAGAGTACAGTCTTCACAGTCATGCTTGCATTCTATCCCAGCAGCACCACTTTCTAAGAATATTTGTGAAGATTGGAATTTATGAATATAATGAAATAAATACCTGACACTTAAGCCGATCCAACGTCCCTCAACTAAGTGACTGATGGGGCTGAGAATTCAGGAGTTAAGTCTTCATA